TTGAGGTGCCTTGAGTCCAAGACATGAAACACTGAAGGGAAAATAGAAAATGCACTGCCAGTTTAGTAATATATTTAATTCTTCTATTCTTCCCCAATCTCTCTGCTACTGTTTATGTTTCAGAGTCCTCAAACTGCTATTAAATGCATTCTGAACAGGCCTTTAGCTGCATTCAGAGATAAGATGGAGTGACCACACTCACCCTATCTGGAACTGGAACCTTTTTTCTTACTTTTAAGTACCTACTCTAACAGAAAGAAAGTCAAGGCCGGGTACAGTGGCTCACGCCTGTAATCCCAGCACTTTGGGAGGCCTAGGCGGACGGATCACAAGGTCAAGAGATCGAGACCATCCTGGCCAACATGGTGAAACCCCGTCTCTACCAAAAAAAGCAAAAACAAAAACAAAAACAAAAAAAATTAGCTAGGCATGGTGGCACACACCTGTAGTCCCAGCTACTCCGAAAGCTGAGGCTAGAGAATCACTTGAACCCAGGAGGCAAAGGTTGCAGTGAGCCAAGATCCCACCACTGCACTCCAGCCTGGGTGACAGAGGGAGACTCTGTCTCCAAAAAAAAAAAAAAATTCAAATAAGGATTAATTCCAAAGTTATCTTGCTAAAGTTCTAAAACAGTTTTGGCAATGTGGTATGTCCAGTGTTTTGTAAATTCTCTCCAAATAAAATAGTCCAGTGGCCACTGTGAAGACCTCTGCCCAGCTCTTCCCTGGTACCATTCCCTTTTAGGTTAGATGCAAAGCATGAGATAGCAAAACTGTTGGCCTCTTGCAAATATCCCATGAGAGCATGAATAAGGCAGAACTAGGTGTGCAAGCTGACAGGTGTTGTCAAGAAAACTGAAGGCTAGGTAAACTGAAACCAGTTGCAATCTGAAGCTGACTCTGAAACAACTTGATCTATCCACCACTAAGAGGGAATTAGTGGGAAGATGTCTGAATTCTCATTCTTTGCCAGTCTTCACTGGGAACCATGTACAAACCTGGAAGCCTTATTCCCATGGTCCACAGTTATTTGCAGATTAAGCCCAAGATCTTTTTATAACTCCAAGGGAGAAGGAGGCTGAGGACCAAAATTCCCTTGCACACTGTTAGCTGTACATTGAAGTTTTAAGTACTTTTCTATATATTTGATATATTTTACTGTAATGTGTGTGTTTTTTTGAGACAGTTTCGCTTTTGTTGCCCAGGCTGGAATGCAACGGTGTGATCTCAGCTAACAGCAACATCTGCCTCCTGGGTTCAAGTGATTCACCTGCCTCAGTCTCGCGAGTAGCTGGTATTACAGGCATGTGCCACCATGCTTGGCTAATTTTGTATTTTTAGTAGAGATGGGGTTTCACCATGTTAGTCAGGCAGGTCTCGATCTCCTGACCTCAGGTGATCTGCCCACCTTGGCCTCCCAAAGTGCTGGGAGTACAGGCATGAGCCGCCACCATGCCTGGCCTATATTTTACATTTTAATACAATGCACAGCTAGTGAGTTACTGTAAAATGGACACCTATGTAACCCTATTCAGGTCACTAAAAGGAATATATCAGCATACTAGAAGGTCCCATGTGCCCATCCTCCAACATACCATCAACCCCCTTGAACACCACCATCTAGCTATTACAGAATTCAATTCCTTGCTTTTCTTTATCGATTTATTTATTTATCTTGCTCTGTCACCCAGGCTGGAGTGCAGTGGCATGATCTCAGCTCACTGCAACCACCTCCACCTCCCAGGTTCAAGCGATTCTCCTGCCTCAGTCTCCTGAGTAGATGGGATTACAGGTGTGCGCCACCATGCCCAGTGATTTCTTTGTATTTTTAGCAGAGATGGGGTTTCACCATATTGGTCAGGCTGGTCTCAAACTCCTGACCTTGTGATCTGCCCACCTCGGTCTCCCAAAGTGCTGGGATTACAGGTGTGAGCCACCGTGCCCAGCTTTCTTTATTGTTTTAATACTGTATTACGTATCTAAGCAAATATGGTTTAATTTCATTTGTTTTTGAACTTTATGTAAAAGGAAAAACACAGTATGTACTGCTTTGTCTGACTTCTCTTACCCAACAATATGTCTTTAAGATTTATCCATGCTGCTGCATCTGGCTATGTTTTGCTCATTTTTACTGTTCTCTATAAATATAATACAATTTTCATATTCATTCTACTCTTGTTAGGTATTTGGATGGTTTTTGACAATTATGAACAACGTTCTTATAAACACTGTTATACACAAATCTTGCATATATGTCCTGTTATGTATAAGCATCCATTTCTGCAGAGAATATACCTAGAGAAGGAATTGGTTAAGTCACCAGGTATGTGTATACTGTATATTCAAATTTAGCTAGATATTACCATAGTTTATTCCAAAGTGGTTGTACCAAATTACACTCTAACAAGTAGAAAATCAGAGTTTCCACTGTACCACATGCTTATCAACATTGGAATTGTCAAGCTTTTCAAGTTTCGTCATTTCGTAGATGTGTATTGATATTTCATTGGGATTCTAATTTGCATTTCCCTGAGTACTAATGCAATCAAACATATTTTCATAGGTTTATTGGCCATTTGGATTTCCTCTTTTGTGAAAAGCCTGTTCAAGTCCTTTGCTCATTTCTGTAATGGATTGCTTCTTTATTCCTATTGAATTCTATCATTCTTTGTTCTGGTTCTGGAAACAAACCTTTTGTTGACTATTTGTGTTGTAAATATCTTTTTTTCACTCTGGATTTCCTTTCATGTTCTCTCTATTCCCCCCCCACCCCCACCCACCCAGAGACAGGGTCTCACTCTGTCACCCAGGCTGGAGTGCAGTGGTGGAATCATAGCTCACTGCAGCCTCTAACTCCTGGGCCCAAGTGATCCTCCTGCTGAGCATCCTGAGCAGCTCAGACTACAGGCACACACCACTGTGCCCTTGCTTTTTAATTTTTTTTTTGTAGAGTTGCGGTGTCACTGTGTTACCCAAGCTGGTCACAAATTCCTGGCCTCAAGCTATCATCCTGCCTCGGCCTCCCAAGGTGCTGAGATTACAGGTGTGAGCCACTATGCCTATCCAGCCTGCCTTTTCACTCTCTTTTTTTTTTTTTGAGACGGAGTCTTGCTCTGTTGCCAGGCTGGAGCACAGTGGTGCAGCCTCAGCTCACTGCAACCTCCACCTTCCGGATTCAAGCGATTCTTCCGCTTCAGCCTCCCAAGTAGCTGGGACTACAGGTGTATGCCAAACGCCTGGCTAATTTTTTTTGTATTTTTAGTAGAGACGGGGTTTCGCCATGTTGGCCAGAATGGTCTCGATCTCTTGACCTTGCAATCCACCCCCCTTGGCCTCCCAAAGTGCTGGGATTACAAGAGTGAGCCACCGCGCCCGGCACTTTTCACTCTCTTAATAGGGGTCTTTTGATTAATACAAGGTTATAAAATGACCAATCTTTTACCATACAAGTAGACACAAGTTTTAGATCCATTTAAGAACTCTTTCTGTCTGTCCATTCTACCTTAAAGTGACTTCTCCTGCCTCAGCATTTTGATGGGGAGCATACAAGGTATGAGATAGAAAGATGCTAAGGGAGGGAAGATGGGATCTAGAGTTAGACAGAGATGATGGCCCTGAACAAGTAACTTCATGTATTTGAACATTAGCTTCTTTATCTATAATTAAAGATATCAAAACTACTGTAAGGAGATCTAGTATTTGATAGCACAGCAGAGTGATTACAGGCAACAAAAATGTATTGTACATTTTGAAATAATTAAGAGTATGAATGAAATGTTTGTAACACAAACTGTAAATGCTTGAGGTAATGGATACCTCGTTCACCCTGATGTATTTATTACTCATTGTATGCCTGTATGAAAACATTTCATGTATCTCATAAATATATACACCTACTATGTACCCATAAACATTAAAAGTAAGAAATTAAAAGCGATTTTAAGCAATAACTGGGAGGTATATAAAGCCCTCAGCACAGTGCCAGCACACAGTAAAACAGGTAGGCCCTCAGTAAATAGTGGTGGTTGTGATCACATTCTCTGAATGTCTATCCTCTTGTCCACTCTATTACAACTGCCTGAACCTCATGGCTGTTTTGTGAATCATAAATCTATGATATCTAAGGACAGCAAATGAATTAACTGCCCTCAACAGGCCAGCAGTCTCCCTGGCATTCACTGGCAGTACCCATGGTATGATGCCCACCCAACTTTACCTAAAAACACAGAGAGGCTCTTCCCTCAAAGTCAAGTCATTCTGAGGCTCCCATAGGGACCCAATGGCAGCAAGCTGAGCAATCAAAGCAGTTTCTCTTTCCACTCCCTGTCAACAGGCACAGTGGTGTGGAGCAGGTAAACTGCCCCAGACATGGGAGAGCCAGGCTCCACTGGGTCTGGGTGAATCTGGGGCAGGTGTGCTGATCTGTGTATCCTGCACTGTAAACAGGTAAGAGAAGGAGTATGTCTGCCTACATGCATTTTGGCATGAGTGCACAGTACAGTTTGGTACTCCTCTCCTGGAAAAGGTCTGTATTTGAGTATATGGGCCGTGCGTGTAAACATGCAATGGCCCTATGTGTCCTCAGGAAACTGGGATGCTCCCACCAGCCCAGCCTTCTAGTAGAAACCCCTGATGTTTATCTGCTCCAGCATTCCCACAGCTTTGGGTCTTTCAATGCCTTCTGCCCCACTTTCTGAGACAGGATATGTGCATGGAAAACAGACATCCTTTTATATGAATCTTGACAACTCTGAATGAAGGGGGAGCATCTACTGCAACTCCTCCTTGCACCCTTTTAAAGTAATTGGAAAAGTTCTCTGAATGGTGTGTCCCTCTTCTGCTTCCCTGACCATAAAGTCTCTACAAAGGCTTCTTGAGACGTCCCCCCCAACTCTGGGATATTCCATTGCCCTCCTCAGCAAACCCATACTTGATTAGGCTTCACAAAAATATGGCTAATATTGAGGGCTAAAAAGATGATAGAGGGGGAAGAGTTGGTACCTGAGCCTAGTGTTTGTCCAGCGGAGTCAAAGGAAAGAACCGCTGAATCTGCAACACAAGAGGACAAGTTCATTTCTTTCTCCTTCTTACAGTAAAAAAACAAGCTCCCACTGGCTCTGCCCAAACCCTCCCTCAAAAGAGAGTCAACAGGAAGGGAACTCAGTTGCACAGCCAACCTCCACAGGCCCATGCCCACCCATCCACGGGGCCAGGAGACCCTGCCCAGCCCAGCTCTCCTTGCCTCCAGACACTGGGAGACGTCTCGGGGCAGGGACAGTCCCCAAATTCTTTAGTGGCATTTCTTGCCAGATCAAATTTACTTCTTTTTCCTTCTTCTAGTGAAAATGAAATTAAAACAAAGCAAAATAAAACTTACCTCCTGAATCTAGTTAAAGGCACTAACATTTCCCCTTTGGCCTCTCCCTTTCTTCTACTTACCTACTCAATTGTTTAATGTTTCTTCCCCAAAAAAGACTTAAAGTGGCCTATTGAAATTTACAATATACACTAGAATTTAAAAATGAAGATGTCAAAGAGAGGAAAAAGATTATATAGTGGGGGAAATGTTAGTGCATAAAATGCATGCCATGAGTACCTATATAAACACCACAGGCAGAATCAGGGCCCGAGCCTCCAAACAGTCAAATAAAAAAGGAAATGAACAGTTACAAGATTCAGTACCCACAAGGCATGCATGCATGCATTCATTCATTCATTCATTCAATCAAATGGTCAGTAAATACGCATTGGGCATCTACGATGTGCAAGATACCATACTATGACTGACACACAGTAACAAACAGATAAAGCATGGTCTCTACCCTTATGGATCTTTCAGCTATCAGTCTAGGAGAAAAAAATATTACCCAAGAACAATCTATTTAACTAGAAACTGATAAAAGAGAAAAAAAGAGAGTGTTATGAAAGATTATATTAGGAACCGGACTGAGCACAGAAGGGGAGTGGGTGCTAGATAGGGAAGACCTCTCTGAAGAAGTGACGCTTGAACTCATAGCTGAAGGATAAGTGAGGGACAAACCCGACAAGAATGGAATTGGACATTCAAGGTAGAGGTAAGGTAGAAGAAGGCCATGTGTGAAGACCTGAAGCAAGATGGAGTCTGCTCCTCCAGAGCAACTGGAAGACCAAAACATAAAAGCAAATACTGTACAGTGATCAGAGAGAACACTGTGAGTCTAATAAAAGAAGATGTCGGCCGGGCACAGTGGCTCACACCTGTAATCCCAGCACTCTGGGAGGCTGAGGTGGGCAGATTACGAGGTCAAGAGATCAAGACCATCCTGGCCAACATGGTGAAACCTCGTCCCTACTAACAATACAAAAAAAAAATTAGCTGGGCATGGTGGCTCGCACCTACAGTCCCAGCTACTCGGGAGGCTGAGGCAGAAGAATCACTTGAACCTGGGAGGTGGAGGTTTGCAGTAAGTCAAGATGGCACCACTGCACTCCAGCCTGGCAACAGAGAGACTTTGTCCCCACCCCACCCCAAAAAGGAGATTCCATATGATGTTGAAGATTGTATATTCTACATTTCTAAACTAAGTAGCTGTGAATCTTGTATGGGTATTTCCTACAACATAAGCCAATGCCAAATGATGGCATAAATTCAATATAGAGTTAAATAAAAACAATTATAAGGGGCACAGGATGATGTAAGGCCCAAGATAACCTAAGAGAGCCCAGACTCAAAAGGGATCAGATTCCAAAGACTTATTCACTACAAAGGAGTGTCAGCTGGATGCAAATGGTACCAGAATCTACAGCCACCCCACCCTAGGATTAGGGGCATTTTCTCTCATTGCACATGGACATTCAACACAATAGTTATCATAACTGTACATAACATCTGTTCCCACTGCTAGGTTGTAAGTTTCATAAAGGCAGATACCACATCTGCTTTATTCACTGCTACATCACCAGCATAACACCTGACATTCAATATTTGCTGAATAACAATGTGTAGAAAAATGAATGAATCACAAATATTTAGGCACTCTTTCCTCAATTTGTTTTTCTCATAACCATGTGTTTGCTAAGAACTGGGTGGCAGAAAGCTGGACGATGTGGTTTCTGAGGCAGATATTCTGTACTGCCAGTTAAAGGTAGATCTGAATGCTTTGAAATCTGCCGAGAAAAAGGTATGGTTGCCACTTTTTTACAAAATGTAGAATCACAATCAGGACACTTGGCTGAACAGATAGGTGACCATCCTATCTCATACGATCAATGTCTAACTCTTATCAATTCTTCTTCTCCTTCTTCTTTTCCTTCTTCTTTCTTCTCCTTCTTCCTTCTTCCTCCCCCTACCCCTCCTCTTTCTGTTGTTTTTTAAATAGAAACAGGATCTTGCCCTGTCCCTGGACTGGAGTTCAGTGGTGCAATTGTGGTTCACTGCAGCCTCTAATTCCTGGGCTCAAGTGATCCACCCATATCAGCCTCCCAAACAGCTAGAACTACAGGTTCATGTGCCACCCTGCCTGGCTAACTTTTCAATTTTTTTTCAGAGATAAGGGTCTTGCCATATTGCCCAGACTGGTTTCCAACTCCTGGCCTCAAGTGATTCCCCTGCTTTGACCTCCCAAAATGTTGGGATTACAGGCATGAGCCACCATGTCCAGCCAATTCTACTTCTTTATCAGTATTTCTCACATATATCTCCTCTCAATGAGAAGACTGACTCCTCTTAACACCTGCTTTTAAAAACGGCTTTACTGAGGTGTAATTCACATACCACTTTAAGTGTACAATTGAATGATTTTTTAGAAAATTTACAGAGCTCCATAACCATCATCACAATCCAATTTAGAAATTTTTCATCACTCCAGAAAGATCCCTCATGTCCATTCTGTCATTCCCTGCCCCCACCTCCAGCCCCAGGAACCACCGTTATTTTCTGTGCATAGATTTGCTTTTCTGGACATCTGCCTATCACCTTTTGCTGGGACTGCTCTTACTGCCCCCAAACTACATCCCTGCCTCCAACTTCACCCATTTCCATCCATTCTTTCTACTGATTTCTCCAAAAATACAACAGATTGTGTCTCTGCTCTTGATTAAAACCCTTCAGAGGCTTCCTGTGGCCTGTAAGATCAAGTTCAAGCTCTGTCATTCAATGTCTTTACCATTTGCTTCATTTACCACCTTGCGTTCCAGATATGCAAAATTACTTATATTTCCCAAGAGGTGTGTACCTGTCTTCAGACACTGGACACACTGTCTTCTCTGCAGGTTTGCATTTAAGAGAGAAAAAAACCCTCCCACTTTTCCATTAAAACGAAATCAATTGACCCCCTCTTTTTGAAGACCTCTCTGATCAATTCTGCTCACTTTCTTCTTTAGGCCATCACTGTACTTCTATTATGGCATTCATTCACTATGCTGCATTATAATCCTTGTTTGCTTTTCTTCTTTTGTTAAACTGAAAGTTCCCTGAAGACAAAGATTGTCTATTCATTTTGAGGCTTTGATGCCTAACTAAGGACCAACACATACAAAGTGGTCAATATGTTTATTCAACTAAGAAATAAGCTAGTGGCTGGGCGCAGTTGTTCCCACCTGTAATCCCAGCACTTTGGGAGGCCAAAGCAGGCAGATCACCTGAAGTCAGGTATTCGAGACCAGGCTGGCCAACACGGTAAAACCCTGTCTCTACTAAATACAAAATTAGCCAGGTGTGGTTGGGGGGCACCTGTAATTCCAGCTACTCAGGAGGCTGAGGCAGGAGAATTACTTGAACCCAGGAGGCATAGGTTGCAGTGAGCTGAGATCATGCCATTGCACTCCAGGCTGGGCAAAAAAAAGAGTGAAACTCCGTCTCAAAAAAAAAAAAAAAGAAGAAGAAGCTAGTAAATATTCTTGCTTTCTTTCAAAGGTGATGTTATCTGAGTGATATTTTACAAATTAGGGGGAAAACCCATTCTGGGTATTGACTCCCGTCAGTTTGAATCAATCCTGAAGTGTGCTTGTCCTGTGAAGGTTCAGAGGTCCAAAACTAGCCTCACCCTAGGAAAATCAGTGCTCATACAAAGAGTCTCAGCACAGGAAAAATAAGAATAGCATCCTAAGAATTTTCTAAGTGAGACACCACATCCCCTGAAAAAGACTGGGAATGAAATTCTGAGGAGCTGACTGCCCATATGAGCAACAATAAAAACAAGCATCTCAAATTTTTATTGCAGTTGACAAGTATTTTTCCAATTGCAATTTATCTTTCTTTTTCTTCAAATGACATGTACAGAATAAAGACTAAAAGTTAACTAAAAGACTGAAATGTAACTAAGACTAAAACAGACTAAATCTTAACGTGATTGTCTCTGGGTGCAGCATGATAGTAATGCTTATTCTCTGCGTTTTTGTAAAATTTGTACAGTAAACATGTACTACTTGCATCATTTGAGGGGACAGAAAGTTCAAAAAAGAACTTCTGAATCCAGCTCTAGGATTTTAACTTCCATCTCACTGGTACCAATGCCAGGGGATGGAAGGTTCTTGAATGCCTTCATTATTCACTATACATGCTGAAAAGCTGTTGAGCTTTTCTCTTTAGTTACTGAGGTCATCCTTATATTTCATGATACTTAAATATCCCTCAACAAATCAGTCTAAATGGACAGGGCTTTCTTTTTTTTTTTTAATTGTATTTAACATTATTATTATTATTATTATTATTATTATACTTAAAGTTCCGGGGTACACGTGCAGATCTTGCAGGATTGTTATGGAATGCGCTTTCTTTCCCTTCTTTACTTCTCCCCCCTTCTCACATATATTATCAAGTGGCTATTACACGCCAGGCCCCATAGAGCCAAATAAGACAGTCTTCGCCTTCAAGCCAAGGAAGACAGACCACTTCGTAAGTTAACATAAAAATAAAGTAATAAAGGTAAGCATCAAACAAGTGACAGTCTCTGGGAAAGAGTCAAAGTCTTTGCAAATACTATTTCCAATGGTAGTAGAATGCTCTTAAGATCACACATTTTTAAACTTCAGAAGAGGCAAGTGAGAGTGTAGAAACTTTCAGAGGAAGT